ACTTCTTACGTAGCTTCTGGAAGGAATATTATCTATCCTATTCACCTGATTTTTTTTTAATGGTTTTAGACTTTTTCTCAATTACTGTATTTTGCCATGCATAATGCACACTTTTTTGCCCAGATTTTTGAGAGAAAAATTACACATGGGTATAATGATTACATACCACAGGTATAATGGGTATAATAATCCTGTGTATAATGTGCACAAAATGTGGGTGTGTGTTATACACGGGAGCACATTATACATGGCAAAATATGGTATGTCTACACTCAAAAGATGATTTGTCATAATTTAGGATATATGCCAAATTCATATTCAAATTCATATGCCACAGATGTTATATTTCGGTTATTACTGGTTATCATTTCTATTCGTTAAGTTGCTGGTGTTGTAAGTGCATTTTCTTACATACCCTTGTGCTGCCAACAGAAGATGTGTATAAAGTTCACATATATGAAAAGTTTTCAAAATGATTTCTATAGTAATTATTATGTAGCGTAAGGAGACATTTGATTGCTTATCTGGAATTAATACGAAGATACGAAAGGGTTAAGACATTTTTGTCCCCCCACCCCCAAAAAATACAGTTTGATATATTCATTCTGGTATTTTTAATTAAAAATAGTTGTATAGTAAGTCCTCACTTAATGTCACCCATAGGTTCGGTGACTTTAATCAAAGTGACATATAATTAAACCAGTTTTAACTGTAGGTTAACTGACATAAAGAGCTGTGCTGTGTGCAGGGCGACTCATCGTTGTTGCAGAGAAACAGCGTTGAATGAAATGATGCAGTGCGAGGGCCTGCTGCACGGCTGCTGGCCCCGGCCCTTCTCTCCTCCTGCACGCTAGCCTAAGACGGGCTCGCTTGAGGTGGTTCAGAGAGAGAGAGAGAGAGAGAGAGAGAGTCATTTGCTAAGTAAAAGGCTTCATTGACAAATACACCTGAGAGAGAGAGAGAGAGAGAGAGAGAGAGAGAGAGTGTGTGTGTGTGTGTGTGTGTGTGTCATTTGCTAAGTAAAAGGCTTCATTGACAAATACACCTGTGTGTGTGTCATACCTATTGTGTTATATGTGATATAATGTAAGGTTTTAAGGTATCTAATTTAAAATCACTTTAGAAATACTAGACACAATATTTAAAAACAGATTATCAATCTGTGTAGAAAATAACCCAAAGAAGTGAATGTGTAAAGAAAATTTTTTTCCAAAATTTTAAGCAGAAATTACTCTTTACCATTTCTTAGAAGTGTTTCACTGAAATACCTTTCGTAATCTCTTTCTATTAATTACCTGTTTTGATAGCCTGTCACAGGAGATTTTATCCTTAATTGTACATATCTTAAAAAGTTAATGGGAAGATTTTCCATAATGCTTTATATATTGTCATTGGTAGAAATCTGTCATTTTTGTTTAAAATGAAGTGAGCAGCAAAGAACAGCATTAGACATAATTGTTAACTTCTTCTTAGAAAAGAACCTGCTATTTGGCATAAATACAGTCGGTGAGCCAAAGAGAAGGTCTGTACTTAAACAGTAGGGTTAATGAATGTCTTTTTTCTTTTTTTCCCTTATTTTGGTCTTTAAAGTTGCAGTTAGCTCAGGCTGTTTGAAATGATTTTCTTTGAATGTGTTGCGACATTGTTTTAATTGAATGAAGCTGCAGAACTAGCATGATAAATCAACACAGAATGAATTTTAATGCAAGGCAAACAATATTAACTTGGAAATTGGTTGCAGTAGACAAAGCAGCTGCTCCGATTAGTTTTTTTCGTTCTCCAGTTACGACATTCTGTGCAGGATGACCTTGACCGTCTCGGGTGTCTCGGACTCCCAGTGGGAGGCGCTGCGATGCACTCAGGCTGGGGTTTTTGGTTGGGTAGTAGAGATTGGTTTGGTTCATTTTTAAGGTTATGAAAATGTTGTGTTACAGAATTAATATGTTGGTTTTGACTGGTTTTAAAACATTTCTTATTAATAAATAATAACTGTGAGGATTATTGAGCTGTGGTGAAGTCTTTTTCTATGTAATTTTCAAGCCATGGTTCCAGCAGAAGAGGTTTGAATGTGTGAAAAGAATAAGATGTGCCAAAGAGGGTCTTCTAAGTGTCTGTGTGTCATGAAGTGTAGGCCAACCAGTTTCATAAAGGGCACACGTCAAAAACAATTAGTATTTGAAGCACAGAAGTACCTGTGTTCGTGATGCATTTTTGCAGACCTTTGTGGCCATATTTGCGATGTGTGCTGTGTGCCCAGGATGCGCGCTGCTGCAGAGAAGGGTCTGTGGAGAGCGCACCTGCTGAGCCGCAGCCCACACGGCGAGCCGTTTCAGAGACAGTCAGGGCAGCACAGGGGAGAGGGCTTTTTACAGATTGCATGGGCAGGGAATTCCTCCTCTTTCTCTTCGTTTTTTAAATCTCTATCATCTATTTCACTCTTTACCACATAGCAGACCTTACATAAATGTTTTATTGGGTTGAATTTGAAAATGGAAGGCATTTTTCTATTCAGCTGAAAAATACCCAACATAAGTAAAATGAGCGAGGAATGGATGTGCAAATCCTTGCCTGTGTTCCGGCTATTTTGAGGGGTGAAGAGGGAGCGAAGTTCTGTAGAATCTGCGACTAAAAAGGGTGACATTACAACAGTAAGTTGCAGAAAAGCAGGAAGAGCTTGCTCTAAGTCAGCCCAGGCCAGGCCTGTTGATAGACTTTCTGTGAAATGTGTATTTTTTCTCTTCCTCCCACCCTTATTCTGATATATTTCACTTTATACTGCCTGAAGTTATGTTAATTTTAGATCTATTTATGTTAAAAGGCAAGCACTTAAAAATGCCACGGGCACCCTGGCTGGTGGCTCATTTGGTTGGCCCGTCACTCCGTACACCAAACAGCTGCGGTCAGGGCGTATGCAGGAGACATTTAATCAGTGGTGCCCCCCCCCCCCGCCCCTGCTTCTTCTCTCTCTAAAATCAATAAACGTGTCCTTGGGTGAGGATTAAAAAAGATGCCATGGACTTCTCTATTTAAGGACTAATAGGGTAATTCAGACTATCTGAGCAATTCTAGTAAAATAAAGCAAAGTAGGGAAAAACATCTGCTTGAATGCGTCAGAGTCCCAGCAGCACTGGGAAGAATGACTAGTGTGAGGTCCAGAGCGGGCGGATGACAATCAAGAATGTAAGCCTGGCTCTTGAGAGCTGCTTCTCCTCTAGGCGTGTTTGCTGAATCTGGAGAGGACAGCTGGGAGGCTGAGCTTCGGGGACAGAGTGTGTGTCCAGACCCTGTTCCCACGGCTCCCTCTCATCTCCAGCCCTAGCTGTGGTTAGGGGCGCTGGCGAGTGTCCCCCGGGCCCTCGCGGGTACGCCGCATCGGCATCAGACTTCCTCGGCCTCAGCAAGTGACACTGTTGCGCGGTGATCTCGGGTTGCTGGTAGCAGCGAGTGCCTGGCAAAAAGATGCTGTATGTCCTCTCTGGAGGAAGGTCGCATCACCTCAGGCCCTGTGTTACCTCTGTAAGCTATTTAGTGTGCACAGTGTCACCCACTAAAAAATAACAAACACGCAAGAAGGGAAGGTGGCATTAACACAAACGTGAAGAAGCCATAGAAAGAGATCCATGGGGACCGTTGATAGACTTCATATATTATAGGTGAGGCCACAGACAAGTTGGAGAAATGTGACAGAAACAGAAACTACAGAAGGAATATTAAACTGAAACATTCCTCAACTGGAATAAACACGTTCAACAGAAGATTAGAACCATTTGACGAGAGAATTAGTGAACTGGAAGCTAGATCAGAAGAAAATACTCAGCAGTGGGAGGCAGAAGGATGGAGAAACCAGGAGGCGGTGTGAGAAGTCAGAGGGAAGGCAGTCAGAGCATCTCGCGTCCACACCGGGAGGAGGAGCGGCAGAGGAGAGAGCGGGCCAGACGCAGTGCATGAGGGGGCTGTGGTTGGGAACCTCCAGACCGAGGAAATGCAGTCACGCTTTAAGAAACTCGGACCTGTAAAGTGAAAACCATACGTAGGCCTATCACAGTAAAACTGCTTAAAACTGATGGGAAGGAGAAAATCTTAAGAAGTGGTGAAAAGGAGGAAAAGGTTGCCTTCACAGGAACGCCAGGGAAAGCGGATGACAGCAGGGCTTTGGGCAGGGCGCAGAGTGCTGGGCGCCAGGGAACTGGATGGGGGTAAGGGGTTCTGCTTGACAAGTGGACATGGCTCGGGCAGATTTCAGAATTGGGGTCTTACAGAACGAGATCACGTGCTTACAGGATCAGTGTTATAGCTCAGTGTGGGAAAAGCTGTATCGAAATCTGAGGGAAGAGGACTTTTATCCACCTGTACACGTGTCCTTCCCATCTTTTATTCGGGAATCACCTTTTGTAGGGTACAGCAACGCTGGCTAGCAGCTGAGCGGGGCAGAGTGGGAGCCATTGAGGCGCAGGGACGGCAGAAGCGCCCCAGCTCCCTAAGCCCTGGCAGCACTGAGCTTGAGCGCATGACGGGTGCAGTGACGACGCTCTGACAGTGCGTCAGAACTTAGTAGGTAAATAACAGGATTTTTCCCCCCAGGGATTTTAGTTTTTTAAAAAAGCAATTACTGTTTAACATAATGAATAGTTCCCTGTGGACCGTCATTACAGAGATGTGTGGAAGACATTTGCTTTTTTGGGTGGCATCCAAGATTCTGCATGTGCTTTGGTTTATATTACATGTTGATGGACAGGACAGTAGAGTACCTTTTTCAGGTAGATGGTATAGTTCCTAATTTCATGTGTTAATACACAGGAAAATTTTTGGGCCAGAAAATGAGCTATTGTACTGACACCATTTCTCCACTGCAACTTGGAAGGAAATTCCTAAGGACTCTTTAATTTTATTTCAACTTAGTATTAAAAAATATTTAATTTGAGAAAAGTAAAGATATATTTTAAAATACTTTTAACAGCTACAAATTCAAGAAAATAATGCATGGTGACTTTTTTTTCCAGTTTAATTTTGTTGGGAGAATCCTTGGACCTAGAGGACTTACAGCGAAACAGCTTGAAGCAGAAACGGGATGTAAAATAATGGTCCGAGGCAAAGGCTCGATGAGGGATAAAAAGAAGGTGAGTTCTTGAAAACAGAGGCAAGTCTTTATATGAGTAATTTAATTATACTTTTGTATTCTAATAAACTATTCAGATCTTTTGTGTAAATCACTATGCATTTCTTCATGTCAAAAACTTGAATGCTTTACAGGTATTCCATGGCTGTGCCCTACCAGTTCCTAGTTTTCATTTAGCCAACCGAAGTGTTACTCTGTCCGTCATGTTACTAACCTTGGTTTTTACAATCGAGAAGCTTCCAATTTGGGAATTAGACCATTATGTGTATAAAAATAAGTAACTAAAAGTTTAGGAGATCTAAAATGTTTCTTCTGAGTTTTAGTTGAGAACAGTCAAATGAATATATGTCAAATCATTTGGAGCAAACAGAAAAAGAAGGCTTATAACTAGCCTCATTTTTGGTTTCACCAACATTTTGTGTTGATCATAAGTTTTATAGACATTTTACTTTAAAACATATTGTTTCTGTTTTCTGTTTGTTGTTCTTTTCTCCTGCTAGTCCTTGTTTTGCTAGGTAATTAATAAAGACCCAACTTCTACTTTAAATTTGTTTTTAGGAAGGCTTTATTTTCATAGTCTAGTTTCCTTTTATCTAGTGATACTGTGAGGCAGACTACTTTTGACTTTATATTTGTGTAAAAAAACATTTGACTTACTTTTTTTTAAACCCTAGATTTTGTTGCCAATGATTAAACTTAGGAGCGTCGTTTGTTTGTTTGTTTGTTTGTTTGTTTGTTTGTTTGTTGAATCCTTTGCCTGGAAAGGACTGTCAGGTGGTAGGTAGGCCTGGGGCCAGCTTGTGTTGGAGTGTGGCACGGAGCTGCTCACGGACACGTGCCGGAGGGCGCTTCTGACTGCGGTCACACAGGCATCCTTTCTGAGCTTCCGGACTTTTCTTTAAGCTCTCCTGTAAGCTGACTAAATGGCAATCATTTCTTTCTCCCTACGGACAAATAATGAGTTAGTAGCTAAAAACTTGGGGTAAAAAGCCCTCACTGATACTGTTTTTTAAATCCTACTATAACTTGATCCTGTCATCTGAGTTTAAAGAGGAGACAGATATGTGAGTTCCCTTTGAGTTTATTTAGATGTTGTATTGAAACCATGTTTTATTAGGATCTTAACTAGATTAAGACTCCAGATTCCGAATCATCTGGGTGGCAGTCTTGTATGTACTGGCACGCAGCGTGGGTTCCCACATTTCCGCTTATGGTTGCATTGTCATTGAGGAGTGCTGCTTTCATAGCCTGGAGACAAAGAGGTGAAATCTTGATAACTGAAGGACAAATAAATCTTCACCAAAAGATGAATGTATCCATCAATTTAAAAAAGTTATTCTTAGCCTCAGCGAACAGCACATGTTTTGTCCCCTCCTCAGCTCCTGTTCATTCTGCAGTAATGGGTTCCACTTCCTTCACTCGTGCCCACGTGCACACCATGCCTGAGAGCTGGAAGTGTGGAGTGACACAGAAGGAATTCTGTTTTCGGTTGGCGGAGGAACAGAATGGTTAAGAGAGTGAGCTCTGCAGCCAGACTGCTTAGGTTTGATCCTTGGTTCTATCACTTAGCAGCTTTGTGACCTTGGACAAATTAATCTCATACAAGGTCTGTCCAGAAAAAGTCCAGTCATTGTTAATACAACGAGAACGGTTTGCATGACATCAATGTAACCGGGCAGCCAAGGAGAGTGGACTGAAAGGTGCATGAGTGAACAATGATGACTTCACTGTAGTAGTCGGGGGTGGGGGGTGGTAGGCGCTGTTAAATGAACATGAGTATGTACCGTGTGGCCATCACATTCAAAATGACTGAGCGAGTAGAGCAATGAATCTGCATCCAGTTGTGCATTAAGCTTGACTATTCCTCTGTGGAAACTATTCAGATGATTCAGAAGGTCGCAACTGGTGATTGGCAGCTTCATTACAACATAATGCCTACACATGCATCACGTTTTGTGGTGAAACATCAGATTACCCAGGTGACGCAGCCCCCTACAGCCCAGATGGTGTCCTATGACTTCTGGCTTTTCCCAAAACTAAAATCACCTTTGAAAGGGAAGAGGTTTCAGACTGTAGATGAGATTCAGGAAAATATGACGGGGCAGCTGATGGCGACTGTGAGAACTGTGTGAGCTTCTAACTGCCAGGTGCCTCCTTTGAAGGGGACTGAGACGTCATTGTTCTATGTACAGTGTTTCTTGCATCATCTTCAATAAATGCCTTTTTCATAGTATGTGGCCGGATACTCTCTGGACAGATCTCATGTATGCAATGGGACTTGTAATGTCACTTACCTCTTACGGTGCTTGTGAGGATTAAATTAGACTGAAGGCACTTAGAGTGGGGTTTTGGCATGTAGTTATTAATGTTAATGTTTGTTCTTAATAAATTTTATCTTAACACTATTTGATAGTATATTTTATGTTTAAACTCTGAGGTGTATAATGGGAATTCTACAGATACTAAGCTTTGGAAATGACAGTACTTGTTTTGTAACCTTTGAATATCCTATATTCTCATGGCTTTTTTGTTCTGTTTATTTGGTTGTTGGTGTGTCTGTATTCTGTCTTGTCTACTTTGTTCTTAACTACATGTCAAAGCAGTTTACACATTTTATTTATTTTTAACTTCTGTTAAAATTCTAAAAAGCTTCTAGAATATACATGCAAGAAAATGATATTAAAATGACACCAGAAGATTGGCTACAGATTACATTTTTGGTTTTATTAAAAGCTACAGATAAACATAAGCTGGACGTATTAAGGTAATCAGAATGACTATCATGTGTTTTATATTATGGTGTGCAGATTCCATGAAGAGTTTATAGATTTATAATACCAGTATCTAATCTTAATTTAAATTTATTACACATATAATACATTAACCAAATCACCTTGGGTTTTGCTATGGTTTATTTGATGAGCTCTTTAAAATGTTAATAAAGGTCAAAATGGAAAGTACTGTCATTTGTTGGTGGCTGTTATTTTGAGAAGGACCATGACCATGGCAAACAGATGGAGACCAAAAGACGTGTCGATGTAAATAGCAGGCCTGGGTGAGGTGTCCTTCTGGGGTTTCAAAGGAAAATCCATTTGACTTCAAGTTTTTCTGCAGAGTTGTCCATTTATGTCAAAGAGAAGAAGGCTAGAAAATAAATCTTGATTTACTGATTGCCCTAGAATACTACGATGGATATGCTGTTTGTTGATCCGTATTCATCACCGGACTGGCAAAGTCAGGGAGGGCAAGCAGGCCATGCCTGGTGTTTGAGAAATACCTGGCAGATAGTAGGACCTGGAAAAATACCTGGGAGAGGAATAAATGTTTCATGAAAGGCATAGATGCTCCTCCCCCCCGACCTCCAGACCCTCATTAAAGATTTTGCAAATAGAGAAAATTATAAACCCTATGTGCTTATAATTCTTTGGGGAAGATAGACAGCACTGTATAATTCTAAGCTGCTGGCTTGAAGCAGCGAAGTGAATATGCCGCTTCAATTTTCATTCTCTTGGATTTGTACTATTTTAGTGTTGCTGGTGGGCACAACAGCATTGATTCTGAATAAAATGGAACCTAAGAGCAGGAACTGCAGCGAGACTTCATGGGACACTTGGAAGTGTCAGGCTCCCAGCCAGCAATGACTGTGCTGGTCCTCACAGGCTGACTGTGCCTCTGCCTCTGATGGCGACAGGGCGCTGGCCCACGGGCTCCAGTTGTGTGTGGGCAGTCCTTTGGGTTCATAGTGCGCTTCGCGTTACGTGCTATTCCAAGTCCTTTACATGCATTGAATTATTGTGAGTTTTAGTATTTCCACTTTGTAGATGAGGAAACTGAGGCTCAGAAAGGTTGTGTAATTTGCCAAACGTCAGGCACTGAAAAATAGCAGTCAAAATTTAATCGAAAGCCTGTGCTGTACTCTGTTAATTACAGACCATTTCTAAGGGTGGTAGCAACTTCATGAATATTAGAAGAACTTGAGTATTGAGTACTCTAAACTTTGTGAAGTCAGTATGATTTCTCTGAGCTTTTGTTTATTCTCTTAAGTGATGATATATTTTGAAATTTTTCTGCGTATCCTGTTTTTGATTTTCACAAATCCTTCCTTTAGACAAGATTTTATCCTTTATTTTCTGATGGGAAACTTATGTACTTGAACAGATTAGAAATGCTATAGAAGCCCTGGCTGGAATGACTCAGTGGGTTGAGTGCCGGCCTAAGAACGAAAGGGTCGCTGGTTCGATTCCCAATCAGGACATGTGTCTGGATTGCGGGACAGGTCCCCACTAGGGGGCGCTTGAGAGGCAACCACACATTGATGTGTCTCTCCCTTTCTCCCTCCCTTCTCCTCTCTCTGAAAATAGATAAATGGAATCTTTTTATAAAAAAAAAACACGCTAGTGAAGTAATTTTGGGAAAAGAAAGTGGCAGATGATTTGTCGCGTCCCAGTTGAGGTAACAGGGCTGCAGGGGGGCTGCAGGGAGGGCTGGGGGGGCAATGCCTCATGGTCCGCCTTCAGAAAGGCAGAGGCGGCAGCCCGCTAGTGTCCAGTGTATCGGGCGAAAACGTGTAAGTCATTAAAACAGGTGAGTGTTTTGCGCATAATCAGATACTTGATAAATTACTGTGGAGTTAGGGTTATTGTTAAAGTGGCAAACAAAGCCTGCCTTTGGGGGTCTATATGAACGGTCTTTGTAGGGAACACGCTTTGGAGATTTGTCTTGTAAACAGGCTGGGGCTAAGTAGCCGTGCTTGTGAGTCTGCTCCAGATTCCTGGCCCAAAATGTTCACAGGTGAACTGTGTACAGTTGATTAAAGCCAGCTCAGTCAAATGTTGTGTGTTCTAGAAATTTCCAGTGAGACAAAGCAGTTCTAGTTAGAGCTCTTTGCTGAGTGAAGAACGTGCACCGAGAGGATCAGATGGCCACTCTGGAGCTGTCGGTAACAATGGCTGGATGGGCTCAGCCACTTCCACAGTGTGCGCGATGTCTGGGTCAGACCGT